ACAAACAACTATGAGATAAACTTAGTAAGTTAACGACCAAAGTCTCGATTAGGAGGTCAACTCATCTCGGATGTACCTAACACATGCAACGATACATCGATGGCAGGTAACTCAACATAGTAGACACAAGTATGCCATCATATAAACATCGGTAACCTTACCTTGTCTTGGCACACGCCTTGCACATTTTAACATCATGTACCATGATAATATAATAAGCATATAATACAGTCAGAATACGCAGCAATTTTCCCATGCACAATGCATCCACACGTGTCTCGATTATAAGGTGAAACCGCTTCGGCCCGTCCCATACCGTGCCTTACAATTTCATCCCATAATCAAGCGCAATGCCATCACATTCTTTCACGCGTATTCTGATTACTACGGCCACATAGGGCACGACACAACCCGCGTTATTCGCATCAGGTTGTCGGTCTTCCGGTATAACCGGGCATCGTCCTGCCCTATCGGGCACGGCGTCATCTCACCAACCTCAATGACGGCATCCCATAAAAGGGGTTTGTTCCGAATCCGATTCGCGAATGATTACATCTCACCCTTCCTCCTGCGACGGCATCCAATTACCAAATTGGGTACGGCATGTCATGGTCATGGCCAAACCCTAGGTTGGCGGTCTTCTGGTATAACCGGGCACGAAAGGAACCTTTAGGTGATTATGCACACATAGTAATCACTCAAGTCCCATTGTTATCTTTCTTAATTAGTCAATGCAGATAGAATCCGTGCTAATTCGTCAAAATATTACACTTTCACACGTAAAAATGCACTAGAATAATCACACGTGATAACGTACATATAATTAAACCATCAAACTTGGCATGCTTCCATATTTAAATATCCTCGCCCTATTCCACTCATAAAATTTGACAAATAAACCCGACACCTCAGGTTTTACTGTTCATATGCCCGCAATTCCATCCTTGAAAATAGAAATACAATTCATTTAGCTATACCAGCAAATTTATACGGCAATTTCCAACATAGGCATCACAATTCAAGCCTAAAAAAATCACAAATTATTATTAAAAACCACACAAAAAATATTAATATTTAAATTCCGAAAATTTATTTATTTAATAAAAAAATATTAATTATTAAAAAAATCCGATAGCTTATCGCAAATCCTCAATAGCTTATCACTAAAATCTCGATAGCTATCGCAATATTGGCGATAGCTTATCACTAAAACTTCGATAGCCTATCGCAATATTGGCAATAGCTTATCACTAAAACCCCGATAGCTTATCGCATTTCTTGATAACTTATCACTACTACTTATCACTTATTACGATAGCTTATCGACTAATCCCTAATTAATTAGCACTAAGCATAATTAACTTAAACGAATTCATCCTAATAAAGTTTAATATACTAATCAAGGGATTATGGAGATAACTCACCTGTTAATGCTTTCGATGACATGAGTAAGACAGCGGCGGCGAGGGCTACGCGTGGCTTGGTCCGAAAACAACACGAGATGACGACGGATGGCTGGACAGTGGCTGGACAGCAGCTTCGGTGAGGAGAGAGGAGGATGCTGGTGAGGGTGGTGGCTCGGTTCGGTGGTGCTGCAAGGCGGACGGCGACACGGCACTTGACGGGTGGCTCGGTGGTGGCTGGCCGGCTGCAAAATAGTAGCTAGAGGGCGGTGATGGTGACTGGTGGTGGTGGTGGCGTGAGGGAGAGAATAGAGAGGAGAGAGAGGTCGGTTGAGGGAGGGAGGAGAAAGAGAGTGAGTGAGAGACATGAGAGATATTTCTCCCTCTTGCAATCTTCTTGATGAAGCCAAGATCAAGATTATCATTTCCCCACATAAATGCATGCCTCAAAGTCTTCATTCATTAAGGCCAAAGACTTTCTCTCCCTTTTGTCATTTATCAACAAATGCTAGAAGAGCATTTTGGTAATTTCACAAGGTATAAAAAATACTATACGCGTATACAAGCTAGAATTTTGTACGGGCTCGTATAAATCGAGTTTGGGTTCAAATGGATAAAAAATGGACTTGAAAATGCTATTGGGCTAAACTTGGGCTTGAAATGGTAAAGTGGGTTTAGTGGGCCTCATTAGGCTCACTTGGGTTTGCTTGGGCCCAATTGGGCCGAAGCACATTGGGCATGAGGCCCAATGGGCTTTCGCTCGGCCCACTCCTTCGTGGGCTCCAATTCTCAGCCCGATAACTCCTTTTCTGAGAGTTTTGAGCAAAAACGATAAACAGGTGGTTTAAGGGGGCGACGTCCAATAGTTTCGTCTTAAAATCCTCGAAAGTTTGATACCCAAATTCAGATTCTAATTCATGGTAAAAAATGATCAATTGTGACTTTAGTATATCTCAAATTAACAGGCGGCTTTTAGGAGTTACTCGTATTTGACTGGTGATTGATTCGATATCAATTCACGTTTAAGCTTTCCCGAGCCATGGATGATCTCGGTTGTCCTGTAATTGTGAGGGGTCAATCGCTAGTTCCGAAGTACGCGATCAATATGGATTGGTTTAGGGTTGTTAGTAGTCCATACAATGGTCAGGCGGAATCACCCGCGATCTGATTGTATACTATTGGCGAAACATTCTATAACCATTCCTTGATCGGCCTATAATGGCTCAAAATTGTCCCTCGTCAATCCTTATGGTCGAATTGTCAATCCATGGTAGAGTTCTTAGGTCGTGCGTACTTAATTCCTTAATAGCCTTTCCCTATTGGCTAGTCTTTCATGAGTGATCAATTCAGAGCGAGATGTAACTAACAGTGCATCGATGAATATAATCATTTCATTACATTCAGAATAGGGTCGAATTTGAGGATGTCACAAATTTCCTCTCATATTTGCTTGATCCAACTTAAGGAACCTGTTAGGAGAACAATGACAATCTGAACAATATCAGATTAGCGCAACAAAACATAATAATCTTCCCTCTTATGCAAACCTCGGATATAACTATTGAAGAAGTAACCGTCAATATAGTGGAGTCGAAGCAACCACCAACGTAGTGGAGTCGAATAAACTGTCAAGGTAGTGGACTTAACATAACCGTTGGTAACCGTTTGTAACCTCTATTTGTAACCGTCCGTAACCTTTGTCAGTAACCGTTTGTAACCGCCATTGATAACCGTCAATTGTAGGCTTTAAATAGCCACATCATACTCTTCCGAAGACCCCCCAACAAATCAATCGAAACGTTATTTTTTAATTATCTTTACTTTCTTGTACCATACTTTATTTTTCCATAGTTGTAGCTTTCCGATTTGCGTTGTCGATTGAATTCCGGGGTGTATTTCTATTTTGGGTGTTGCATCATCGATTAAATTCCGGTGTTGATCTTTGTGTACGTGTGTTCGCTTTAAATGGCCACATCGTACTCTTCAAAAGCCCCCGAACACACAATCAAAATGTTGTTTTTTATCTTTAAACTTTCCGCATTGTATTTTCAACTTCCTTAGCTATAGCTTTCTATGTTTTAAGTCTAGTAACAATGTAACATGGTATCGACGAAGTTCGAATGTAATGCTGCCAGTCAGTGACCGGTTGGATTTGTTTGAATTGGTTATGAAGCTTAAATTTCATATCGATCGAATACTATCATGACTTGAATTTATATTGTTCGATCGAAACAAGCGAGTTCCTTTTTCTCGCCTAGATATCTCCTGTCCAGAGTCGCCACTCAACCCTGTCCTCTCTCACAAAAAAGCCAAAGAACAACGTATATTTTGTCGCGGGAACAATTCCAGTGAAACAGTTTCCATTAGCTAGTCTCCACAAAAAGTTAAAAAAGGAATGTGTCTTATACCTCTATTATTTGTGTCCAACCTTTCCAGTCATCTGCCACTGCAGTCCAAGATAGATCAAGAATGACCAAGTTCTCTAGATTCAAAACAAGAAGCTCAGAGCTCTTATGGCACCCTCGCTAATGAAGCCACCTTAATCCTAAAAGAAGACCAGTAAAATTTCCTCTCATATTTACTCGATCCAATTTAAGGAACCTGTTAGGAGAACAATGACAATCTGAACAATATCATATTAGCGTAGCGAAACAAAATAATCTCCCCTCTTATTCAAACTTTGGATACAACTGTCGAAGAAATAACCGTCGATGTAGTGGAGTCGAAGCAACTGCTAACAAAGTGGAGTCGAATAAACTGTCAAGGTAGTTGACTCAACAGAATCGTTGGTAACCGTTTGTAACCTCTGTTAGTAACCGTTTGTTACCTCTGTTAGTAACCGTTGGTAATCTCTATTTGTAACCGTCTGTAACCTCTGTCAATAACTATTTGTAACCTCCATTGATAACCGTCAATTATAGGCTTTAAATAGCCACATCGTACTCTTTAGAAGACCCCCCGACAAATCAATCGAAATGTTATCTTTTAATTATTTTTACTTTCTTGTACCGCACTTTATTTTTCCTTAGCTGTAGCTTTCCGATTTGCATCGTCGATTGAAATCTGGTGTGTATTTCTATCCCGGATGTTATGTCGTCGATTAAATTCTGGCGTTGCATCTTTGTGTATGTGTGTTCGCTTTAAATAGCCACATCATACTTTTCGAAAGCCCCATACTTTTCGAAAGCCCCCCGAACACACATTCATAATGTTGTCTTTTTATCTTTAAACTTTCCGCATTGTATTTTCAATTTCCTTAGCTATAGCTATCTATGTTTTAAGTCTAGTAACAATGTAAGATGGTATTGACGAAGTTCGAGTGTAATGCTGCTAGTCAGTGGTTGGTCGAATTGGTTATGAAGCTTAAATTTCATATCGATCGAATACTATCATCATGACCTGAATTTATATTGTTCGATCGAAATAAGGGAGTTCCTTTTTCTCGTTTAGATATCTTTTGTCCGGAGTCATCACTTAACCTGGTCCTCTCTCACAAAAAAACCGAAGAACGTATATTTTGTCGCGGGAACAATTCCGGCAAAACGGTTTCTATTAGCTAGACTCCACAAAAAGTTAAAAAAGGCACGTGTCTTATACCTCCATTATTTGTGTCCAACCTTCCCAGTCATCTGCCACTGCACTCCAAGATAGATCAAGAATGACCAAGTTCTCTGGGTTCAAAACAAGAAACTTAGAGATCTTATGGCACCCTCGCCAATGAATCCACCTTAATCCTAAAAGAAGACAAGTAAAATTTCCTTTCATATTTGCTCGATCCAACTTAGGGAACCTGTTGGGAGAATAATGACAATCCGAACAATATCAAATTAGCACAGTGAAACAAAATAATCTCCTCTCTTATGCAAACCTCGGATACAACCGTCGAAGAAGTAACTGTCAATGTAGTGGAGTCGAATAAACTGTCAAGGTAGTGGACTCAATATAACCGTTTGTAATCTCTATTAAAACCATTTGTAACCTCTGTTAGTAACCGTTTGTAACCTCCGTTGATAACCGTCGATTGTAGGCTTTAAATAGCTACATCGTACTCTTCAAAAGATCCCTTGACAAATCAATCAAAATGATATCTTTCAATTATCTTTATTTTCTTATACCGCACTTTATTTTTTCTTTAGCTGTAGCTTTCTGATTTGCGTCGTCAATTGAATTCCGGCATGTATTTCTATCCCGAGTGTTGCGTCGTGATTAAATTTCGGCGTTGCATCTTTGCGTACGTGTGTTCGCTTTAAATAGACACATCGTACTCTTTGAAAGCCCCCCGAATACACAATCAAAATGTTGTCTTTTTATCTTTAAACTTTCCACATTGTACTTTCAATTTCCTTAGCTGTAGCTATCTATGTTTTAAGTCTAGTAACAATGTAACATGGTATAGACGAAGTTCGAGTGTAATGCTGCCAGTCAGTGACTGGTCGAATATGTTCGAATTGGTTATGAAACTTAAATTTCATATTGATCGAATGCTATCATGACTTGAATTTATATTGTTCGATCGAAACAAGCGAGTTCCTTTTTCTTGCCTAGATATCTCCTGTCCGGCGTCGCCATTAAACCCGGTCCTCTCTCACAAAAAAGCCGAAGAACAACATATATTTTGTCACGGGAACAATTTCGGTGAAACATTTTCCATTAGCTAGTTTCCACAAAATGGGCAAAAGTACACCACAAGTGCCATAACTTGTGTACGGCGATCACTTTGGTGCAATAACTTTTTTTCGGATCACTTTGGTGCAAGTCGGAGGAAAGAGATCACTTTGGTGCCAATTTGGCCGGAAATCCGACGCGCATTTTTTATTCATTTTACGCCGACGTGGCTAGCCGGAGGCTGAGTCAATGTTACGATAGCATTTTTATTTTAAATAATTTTTTAGCGTGTACAATCAGCATTTTTAATTTTAAATATTTTTTTCCTTTTTTTCTTTCCTTTTTCTTTCCTTTTCTTTTTCTTTTCTCCCCTCACCGCCACCTTGGTGGCTCCGCCGGCCACCGGCGAAGCCCGGAAGGGCTGGGCGAGGGCGGCCTTGCCCATGGCCGGCGAGGGGCGACAGATCCTCGCTGGGGATAGGTGAGGCCGGCCCTCGCCGGCCCAAGCGAGGCCGCCCCTCGCCGGCGTCCGGGCGAGGGAAGCCCTCGCCCGGGCGGGCGAGGGTCGCTCTTGCCGGGATCTCGCCGAGGGCGACCCTCGCGGCGTCGGCGAGGGTCGCCCACGCCCGACTCAGGCGAGGGCGACCCTCGCCCGCCCAGGCGAGGGATTCCCTCGCCCACGCCCGACGCCGGCGAGGGTCGCCCTCGCCGGCGTCCGGCAAGGGCGACCCTCGCCGGCGTCGGCGAGGAAGCTCCTTGCTGGGGCTGGCGAAGGACGCCTCGCCGTGATCCGGCGAGGGCGACCCTCGCCTGGGCCGGCGAGGGCCGGCCTCGCCTGTCGTCGCCTCGCCGGACATGGGTAAGGCTGTCCTCGCCCAGCCCTTCCCGGGCTTCGCCGGTGGCCGGCCGGCCACCGTCAATCGACCGGCGAGGGGAGAAAAGAAAAAAAAGAAAAAAGAAAAATGAAAGAAAAAAAAAGGAAAAAATATTTAAAATTAAAAATGCTGATTGTACACGCTAAAAAAAATTATTTAAAATAAAAAATGCTGACTGTACACGCTGACTCAGCCTCCAGCGAGCAACGTCGGCGTAAAAAATGAATAAAAAATGCCACGTCGGATTTCCGGCCAAATTGACACCAAAGTGATCTCTTTTCCTCCGACTTGACACCAAAGTGATCCGAAAAAAAGTTATGGCACCAAAGTGATCGCCGTACACAAGTTATGGCACTTGTGATGTACTTTTGCCCCACAAAATGTCAAATAAGGAACGTGTCTTATACATCCATTATTTGTGTCCAACCTTTCTAGTCATCTGCCACTACAGTCCAAGATAGATCAAGAATGACCAAGTTCTCTAAGTTCAAAACAAGAAGCTAAGAGCTCTTATGGCACTCTCGCCAATGAAGCCACCTTAATCCTACAAGAAGAATAATAAAATTTCCACTCATACTTGCTTGATCCAACTTAAGGAACCTGTTAGGAGAACAATGACAATCTGAACAATATCAGATTAGCATAGCGAAACATAATAATCTTCCCTTTTATGCAAACCTCAGATACAACTATCGAAAAAGTAACCATCAATGTAGTGGAGACAAAGCAATTGCTAACATAGTGGAGTCGAATAAATTGTCAAGGCAGTGGACTCAACATAACCATTGGTAACCGTTTATAATCTCTGTTAATAACCGTTTGCAACCTCTATTAGTAACCGGATGTAACCTCTATTTGTAACCATTCGTAACCTCTGTCAGTAACCGTTTGTAACCTCCGTTGATAACCATTGATTGTTGGCTTTAAATAGCTACATCGTATTCTTCAAAAGGCCCCCCAACAAATCAATCAAAATGTTATCTTTTAATTATCTTTACTTTCTTGTATCGCATTGTCGCTTTCCGATTTGCATCGTCGATTAAATTCCGACGTGTATTTCTATCCCAGGTGTTACGTTGTCTATTAAATTCCGGCGTCGCATCTGTGTACGTGTGTTCGCTTTAAATAGCCATATCGTACTCTTCGAAAGCCCCCCCGAACACACAATCAAAATATTTGTTGACACCTGATTTTTAGTTGATGCATCGTAAAGGTAAAAATCTTGAGATTAGGGTTTCTAATCGTGACAGAACCCAATTCTCAATCAAAAGAGTCATTTAGCATTTGAATTAGCATTGGCCACTTATTTTATAGCTTTTTGCATCTCAATTTCAAAAAGTCAAAGAGCTGACTTTTGAGTTGACTTTTTAGTTAAACTTTGACCAAAAGTCAACCCAAAGTCAAAATATGGTTTTTTGCATAAAAAACCCCAAAATAGTGTCAATTTCACTTTTGCATCATCAATTTTCAAAATTCGATTTAGAATCAACTTTTCCCTAATTTGTGGAATTTGGTTCAAATTGGCTAAAAATGAAATTACTTCATTTCTAGTCGTTTTTTAGGATAGTTTCTTTCACGGCATTTGATTTAGAGGTCGTATTACATTCAATTTTTGAACCAATTTGGTAATTCCAAGTGAAGGGAAAAAACCCCCAATTTAGGCCCCAATCAGTGATTCCAGTCGGTTCCTTATGATTTGCGCAATTGAGGCACGAATGAGCCTAATTTCTTATATGCAATCCAAATCCGAAATCAATTTTGGAAGATTCACATGAATTTGAACCAATTTGATCAATCTAGTGATCCAATGATTGAAAAATCCAAGAATAATTGGTCCAATCAAGGCAATTCAACTTGCCCCATTCTAGACTAACATCCAATTTGATGAATTGAAGCTCAATTTGGCCCATTTGACTTCAATTAAATTCATTAGTCTAGCTTGATTATGCAATTTAACTCAAATCAAAGAACAATTGGGCTAAATAAGTTAAATTTGATCAATTTGTGCTTGAATTTCAAATTGGTTCAACCCAATTTAATCGAATTCAATATTAATCGTGTCAATTAATCATGATAGGGATTAAATTGTACAAAATTAGAACAAATTGAGCCGAGAATTGAACCGGTTCAACCCGGTCAAACTTGGGTCAAACGGTCCAACTCGGTTTGACCGGAATTGAACCGGTCCGATCGGACCGACCATTTTTCGATCAAAAATCCGGCGGCCGGCAGTCCATTCTGGCCAGCCACATCTCTTTGTGCCCAAAATGACAAAAATACCCTTAAATAGAAATTACAAAAATGCCCCTAAGTGAAATTATCAAAATGCCTTTCCTTACGGATTAAGCAAATTACTTAGAGGATAAGCAAATCAATCATGACCATTCATTTAGAACAAATCATAGCTATCCATAATGCCATGTCACTTATCCTTAGCCCTTAAGGAATATTCTTAATCATTAATGATGCATTCTAGGCCATTAGATTGACCTAAAGGCTATGATTCAAAGTCGGGGGGGTATATAAACTTTTTCCCTCCAAAAATTGATAGGGACTCTCATTTTGCAGATGTGTTTTCTCTCTTCTCTCTCGCTCCCTCTCTCTCTATCTCACGTTTTCTCCCTCTCTATCCTTGGCCGGGAGCTTTCCTTGCTAACGCCGGCCACTTGCCGGCCGATTTTCGGCGCACCGCCACCACTCCGGCAACCCCCCGGACGTCCCGAAGCCAGTCACAAGACCGGCCACAGTTGTTGGTGGCTAGAGCTCCTCCGATCAGCTCCATCTCTCTCTCAGTTACATCACTAGCAACCGAGCCGGTGATTGATCCAGCTGGCTTCCGTTGTGATTTCATCAATCTGACGGCTCCTTTTGGCAATCTCGAGCTTCAAGCAATCTTCTTTGGTGCCCTCACGTGGCTGTGGTGGTTGGCCTCCACCGGAAAAGCCACCGGAGTTCCATTTTAAGCTTGATTTTGCTTCTTCTTTATTGGATTGCTATCTTACATCAATTTTCTTACCTTGTGACGTAGATATCGAGAGCTATATTTGGTGCTATTCTGGAGTTCATAGGTGACCAAAATAGCTCGTTTGAACTTAGCACCATTATTGAACAAGGTAGGTACTCTTGGATCTTATCCTGTGAAATCATGTACTGAGGAGTCTGCATGCTTGAAATGTTGATTTCAGCTCTTAAATGTCGAA